GGCTGTTGCACACCCAGAAATCGACTCCACCTCGGCGTCAGTCATGCACAAATATAACGAAGTCATAGCTTCATTGTTGCGTTTATCCCATTCTTTTTGAGGATCACCTACTGCTGCAGGTCTGGTGGATGTTCCGTCCACTATTTCGTTTAGGTCATGCGACCTAAATAGGCTTGACATCCTCACTTTCCAAACACGGAAATTATCACCGTCAAGTTTAGATATCGAAGATGTGTCAAACTTTCTACCCACTATTGTCGTAGTGGTAGTTGTTGTCGTTCCCGAAGTCGTGGTAGTCATTTTCTGACTTTATTCTCTCAAACTTATATTTTTAAACTTAAAATCTTTTCAGAAATTTAAGTTTTTCAGAAACTTTGCAGAACCCGTGCTGATAACGTGTTCAAAATATAAGGAGAGAGATGCTCGACTGTTGGAGTATTTTCAGCTACTGATTTATTAAACGCAGCTCATTGTCATACATATAAGATCATCATCTAAGTCATTCAACTTTTCATGCATGCATTTATCCACCCATAATATTAGGTGGTCAAGTATGTGCATCATTGCACATTTAGCGACATAATTCATATTATAACATACACAATCAGGGTTATTTTTAACAATTTATTTTCTATTTAGATAAGGTTAATTTGATAAAAGTGTCAAAAATGAGTTCCACCCATCATCTTTCAATTCCACCCGGACTTCAGTCGATCCAGCATTTGATTCCGAAGAACATTGTGCAAGATTATCTTAAGAAAACCAACGGCAGGAGAATGTCGTAACCAAGCAAAATTATACAAGCCAATCTCAGTGAAGAAGCCACTGTTTCTTTCGCTTGCAATTTTGAGTCATGTGAAATTGATATTGTTATTACGAAAAAATGGATTTATTTGAACGATTGTTGGGATAGAAAACCAATTCGAAAAAGTGTGGGATGCGCCATCATCCACATTGAATCTGGGTCTTTCTGGATCTTTCGTGTTTAAAACAGTGGACGATAAAACTAAGTTTACAAAGTCCATCAATATGAAACTCCAAGAGAGAAGACGGATGTAAGTAAAGCCATGCTTTTGTAACACAATTTGTAAATGTAGCTCGAAAATTACTATGGCTGTAATTATTCATATTCAAACAATTTTGTCCCCAGGTCTTATATAACACATCCGCTGAGTTCTACTCTGCTGGACAATTCTGCTATTGATCCTGGGATGTGTATCTCTGGGGACGAGTCCCCCAGTGACCGACCGATGGAATTGGGAAGCACCGACTCCTCACAAATGGATATTAGCTCTCATGCTAGTTCCAGCTCCAGGATGGAGACAACTAGTGTTCTTGAAATATGCCCATTTTGATTACAGATTTGAGTAAAAAAAAACTTCAGCAATTTGTCAAAAATTTGTCAGCAAAAACAAATCTATGTAAATAGACAGCAGCCGTATTATTCTAACAAGAGTACTAATTATGTCGTTGAACTAAAACCTGCAGGTTATTATCTATGTATATACAAATTATTCCAAATTATGTATTAGTAAGAAATTAGTGAGAAATTGTTACTTTAAGATGGAAAATTGTCGACGATTGATCACAATTCAATGCTGCAATCGTATCTCAAATCAGTATACATTACATTAACATCTATTTGAGTAGCTCCTCGTAAGTGGATAGGACGCCTTCTTGAGTTCTATGTACTTAAGTAGTAGTTGGGAACATATACATAATATTATTGTGATAAATTGTTACAAATTTGCCACCAAGCATGTTAAAATAGTTGGGAGGTAGGTAATAAGGTACGGGTACATATAATTTAAATAAGTGCAGCAGTATTGATAGAACGACACACTCGTTTCAACCAATTATGAAGTATTGATGAAAATAAATATTGGACAAGGAATGATGGCCAAAAATGGGAATTTATTTTAGGAATTTATAAAAGTGCATGCATTTTTTGTACTGGCCTTCATCCTATTTACCCCCGACGGAAGTAGTAGACATTGATGATGACAATTGATAGATAGCAGATCTTCTCCAGGAAGTGAGTGAGTACTGCCTGAGTATATTTTGCTAGCATAGTAATAAGTGACCTTGGTAAACAATAAGAATTGAAAATAAGAATTGGCCCGTATCCCAAAAATCCTCGCAAATTGTGTAGACATGTACATGCACTTCATTCCACTAAAAGTTACGATGTTTTCTCGTATTAGTTTAAAATAAAATCTTCAAAATGGCATCTTTAATTATGACCGTTGTGACTTTATTGGGATGACTTGACCATAGCCCAGCTATGATAGCTGGCAGGTGATCTTCGCCATGGTTTTTAGACACGACTTGAGATTTTGCTCATTCCATTGCTGTTTGGGTCTCAAAAAATCTCATCTCGCCCCATCTGGAAATTATCGATCCATCCGAAATGTCATCCCATTCCATCATCCTTTTTCGCCCAGACGAGACGATAGATAGGCAGACAAGAGGACAGGACATACACGAAAAGACACAAGACGTTGCCTTGGAGTGAGTGGCATATCATTATCATCGGCCGGAGGAGCAGCTCTGTGTCGTCATCATCGTCATGAGGGTGACCAAATCGTCCCCTTCGTGGTGGTGGTGGTGGTGGTGGTAAGTCAACTTATCAATTATAAGCATCACACATAAATTCATACCACACCCACCCACCAATCCATCCAGCAAGTATAGTATAGGAATCGTGCTGGACCATCAGTGTTTCGGGTGCAAGTGTCCACTTGCAAAAAATAACTGGGTGCAAGAAAATGGTTTCATGCACCCGAAACACTGTCAAATTCAGCGATTTTGGCCTGCGAGAAATGCAAGAAAGTACTTACCACCGCTATGAATAGATAGTTCATACAACGCGTGGATAGCATATTTCTTGCAGTTTCTTGCAGTTTGCATTTTTTTGCGCTTCTTGCTTTGCAGTACAATAAATGTAGCAAACCTGCAGGAAACGAAGCACTGAGGGCCAGGACTCCTGGCCCAGGAGGCAGTGTCATTAGCTTTTCGTGTCGCAATACCGAGTTTGTCTTTGCCGACCGGTGGGATTTTTATTGGTGACAAGATCATCGTCATGTCACCAGAGAGTTCTTATTATTACGTTATCCTTCCTACCCTCAAAGTCGACAAGAAGACATTGACAAAATGGATTTTAAAAAGTACGTGCATTATTATTATCGTGGGACCATCCACACCTGGGTTTTGCGGGCAGTAGGATCCCACCCTGTCTGCGTAACGGGTGAAATTTGGGTGGACGCTCCCTGACCGTTACAGTTATCTCTTGGTGCCTTACGGCAGCCAACCGACCGCTATGCACACACACACACACCCCCACAACACCCGACCTCCAATCCTACGTACCTCTCCCTCGTCATCATCTGAACATCTGAAGAGTAGATATGCATGCGATGATCGCCATGATCTGCATTTGCCTCAGCTGTAAAAGAGACGAGAAGTACTGCTGCTGTCAGTCACTGTATGCCGAGGCGGAAGTGGGGCAGTTGTGGTACACTCTCAATAATTTTTTGACAAAATTGTTACCGGCGGAGGTACTATGTGACTCTACCGCGTGGTAACACTATAGTAACAAATTGTCTTCTGAGGGTAAGAAATTGCCTCCGGTATGGGTAATATTTTTATTACCTGAGCGTTGACATTGGGCGCTGAGCAGGATTTAGCCTCTTTATATATGCCACCCTTTGGTGATAAATTATTGCCCGAGCGGTAGAGTCACATAGTACCTCCGCCGGTAACAATTTTGTCAAAAAATTGTTGAGAGTGTAGTCACTCGTAGTAGTGCTGTATACTTAGCAAGCAGTTTCTCTTTGTCCCTTGGGTGTGGCACTAACAAAAGGCAAGACACACACACGCTCAGCACGTCACACACAGAAGCGTCGTCATAATTAATCGTCATCGTTGGCGCCTTGGCCACGACGAGGTTTTGGAGAGAGATAGCATACACACACTCGTGAGACTGGGAATTCCTGTGGTGGTCAGATTCTTCCATTCGTTCCTCCTCTCTATGTTCAAGGACACTTGGCTCATCATCATTAAGTTGTCAGACTAGTGGCTGCGGAAGCCGTGGGGACATTGTGGGATCTGGGATAGGTTTATGTCCCATGGGGAGATTCTGATAACTGTCCGCGGAAAAGTACTGACACATATGGTGAACTTTTCCGACAGGCGGCTACCCCTGGGCGACGCAGTTATCGTCTCACAAAATGGTCAAGAGGTCGACCTCGCCGCCCTCGCCCTGACTAAACTAGCTTCAGCTGCTTTATGCGAACGTTTTGCGTGTCCGTCTGTCCGTCTGTCCGTCTGGCCCTCGATTATTTCCGAAACGGTTAGAGATATCGAAATTCTGTCTTCAGAAGTTTACCATGCAGGTTCTATTTGGTTAGTGGGTGTGGTTATCGGAAGTGGGTGTGGTTCTAGCTATCTCCGAAACAGTTAGAGATATCGAAATTCTGTCTTCGGGGGTTTATCACATGTCATCTATGGATGTTTTAGCGCTATGTAGTAAGTGGGTGTGGCTAGTGGAAGTGGGTGTGGTTCTTGATATCTCCGAAACGGTTAAAGATATCGAAATTTTGTCTTCGGGAGTTCATCACATGTCATCTATGGATGTTTTAGCGCTATGTAGTAAGTGGGTGTGGCTAGTGGAAGTGGGTGTGGTTCTTGCTATCTCCGAAACGGTTAAAGATATCGAAATTCTGTTTTCGGGAGTTCATTACACAATCAGGCTGAAGCTACTTTTTTACATCTGTACTTGCAACAGTTTATTGTTCTTATCAAAGGTTGCGGGTCTAGAAGAATTTCTGCAGGCCTATCGCATTGAAACAGCAAAAACGTGTAAATCCTGGTAGAATAATCCTACTTACATAAAACGATACAAATATGGAAAGTATTTTCAAGCCTTGGTTAGTAATGTTTTTTTTTCAATGTTTCCCAAATCTTTTTTTCTTTTGTTGTACAAAATTATGAGCACCATATAGATTTTATTTCTGATAATTTATTTATTTACTCGCCACATAATATTCATAATAAACGTTTAAACCCATTGTTCCTGTCCAGTTGACAAATTTGTTTCAGTAATGAACATACCGACTATTATAAATAGGGTCACAACCCCTAATTATTGACCTGGTAGGATATGGATACGAATTAAATGATTGTATCAGCAATGTCGACGAGTAACAGTGTGACAGCCCGGTAAAATTGTTGTTCTCGAAACCCGTCCAGCTTGAGGCCCCCGTAAGAACGACACGGTTGGGAAGAAATTCAAAATTATTCGCTGCTGGTGCCATGATCGTTATCTCGGGTCCACCAGCATAAACTCCGGGATAAACGGAAATAGACGGCGTTGTTACATTCAAGGGTCCAAAATATCTTAAAGACTGAGTTTCAGGAAATGTTCCATTGTCACAAGTCATAGATTGAGCTGAACCTGGGGAAAAAGTTCGCTCACTAGTAAAGTTAGTTCGATAGTATCCGTTCCAACTATAAGAAATAAGAAAATGTGGACTTGTTTGTTTGAAGTTTTAGGGGATAAGAAGATTAAGTAAAGAATCTTCTTCGTTACACTTACGATCCAATGTAGCAGTATGATTTTACTTGTAGTAACAGATCCGTGTAGTGTGGTGTCAGGTCCGCTTCTTTAGTTCGGAATCGATACGCATAGCCTTGGTAACCTGGTTCAGTATAAAATGTTACTTCTTGAATGAACCCAACAACCAGGGTGAAGAAGGCGGCTAGATATAAAAAACGAACAAGCATGATAACCAACTTAGTCAAGAAACGTAATTAATGGATTGTGCAAGAATTGAGGACATTTTATAGTGAATGGGTTACATCATTCCTACAGTAGAGGTACATACATTCATAGGCCTTCTAATTGAATTGGGTTAGGTTAGGTGAGGATGAACTGATAGTATTCAGAAACCACTTAAACTTTATCTATACATTCTGGTACATATAACTATTCAATTAATTTTTTGAGTGTCAGTGTCCCCAAACAATACATAAAAATAATTTTTACATTAGTCAAATATTTTATCACTTGGAAAAACCATTAGATAACAATAATTACTTGCGTAAGAGGGTTACATAACTGAAAGCAATTATTAAGCAGGTTATTCGGTATAAATTTAATGATACAATGCAAACCAAGATTACGTATATTGGTTTGTTATGTAGATATGGATCGGTTTCATTACTTATTATTTTACATTTACTGTCCATCCAATTCGTTTGTATTCAAGGACATAACAAGAGTTTATAACCATTTGTACTCGTATTCTAAAGTTCAGTCTTTTCCTGATTCTTGGACCTGATGCACATGTCGCCGTCTCAATTATACAAATATTTTACCGTACTTAATATGTTCTTCTCAATTTACCTTTACTAATTGTATGATTTGACAACTACTGATATGATAACATAATGTGTCTCCTTACTTCTTATCAAATTATCCTAATTCAATTAACCTTCAAAATGTAACTTAAGCAATACTCAACTAATATTCTTTGCCACTCTTCTCAAACTTACCACATCAATCCAATTCATTTTAAGTTCTAACCATTTTTATGTATGACAAAGCCTATTTAAAATTGAAGTAAATTACATTAAGACAAACTAACTGAACGAAGTTGTGCGAGAACTCTTCGTTTCCTAAAAAGTCTGTCCATCTCAAAAACCACGCCATAATCATCACAAAGCTACCATCCTCAAATCACACCCACATCAGGTATTAATGTGCATGAACTTTTGTTTGGGTAGATTTTTAAGCACCTGAAGTTCCAGAGCCCGATAAATTCATTTCGTTAGCAGTAGGCGTAAGGGTGATTTAAAATACAAGATGAATTTGGTGATTTGGATCAGATTTGGTGGTCAGAATTCAGAATTCATTAACGTTGTTTGTTTAATTGGCAATATTACATACATCTTTAGTTTTATTTATTAAATCTTATTGTAAGGTGTATTCGCAGAGTATGTGTGAAAAAATATGTATCACAAAAAATATCGCAAAAATCTGATTACGCAGCTTACATACATATTTATTTTTAGAACACAATTCTATTCTCCATCGAATAAATTACTAATTGCTTTAGAGGGAGGTGTGCATAAGTGTTTGCAAAATAGTAGAGTGTATTCATAAAGTTTCTTTCCCTAGAACTCGCATAACTTTTATGGGTTTATAGAAAAATGTAGTTTGAAATAATCTGGCTGGTTTATTATATTTTAAGTACCCTAGTATGATGTGTTACGGCCGGGGGTTATCAACGTCAGAGATTATCTTCTCGTGATAATTGGTTATCTGGTGATCTGCCCTCATGCCGTAGAAACTTATGCGTAGACTTGACTTGGACTTAGATTTAGAACTTGACTTGGTCTTAAAGGTTGATTTTTAATTAAATTGCTTTATTTAACTAATTTAGCATTTATTCGAATATTTTTGCAAAGCAGAGCAAAAATGGCTACTTCCTCCTTCCTTGACTGCCACTTACACACTATAGTCATTCACACTTCCTTCTCTTTGTCTTCACCAACAAAGACTGACTCTGCTCCAATCTCCCTCCAATACATCACCATGGCAACCACGACGATATGGGACAATTGCACCATCACATTCATAACTCTTGACAACTCTTCATCACACATCATAAGACTCTGAGTAACAATTGAACGTTCAAGTAATTTTTACAGTAAACTAGAATGGTTATAGATTATATAGGAACCCATTTTGCCCCGATTGCATGCTCCCAATCAGAGAGATCAATTAGTTAAGGGTTCACCTTTATCCGATTTAAGTCTCGCCGCAACAATGTGTGTTCACCAGTATTCTTCATCATTTCTTCCACCCTTGTCTTAAAGCTTTGTGACAACTTTTGTAAAAGCTCGACCGTGAGTGAATTCAACTTTTCTTCGAAAAGGCCTGTAATTCCAATCTTGTTTTTGGGTAAGGCTCTTGGAATGCTGAATCCTTTAAAATGGACCACCATTTTTCGATGGGGTTCAAGTCTGGAGAATTTCCAGGCCACACCCCCTTCCCCAGACTGACCCAACTTGCTCCTCCAACAGCTTCATTATGGACCTTGCTGTATGTGCTGGAGCACCATTTTGTTGAAAAACACAATTTCTTCTGCTGGAGAATGTACACTGCTCGCGTAAATTGTTCTGCTAGGTTTCTCATGATCATATCAAATCCCAAATTTGAAGCAGCTTCGACAAGGTCAAAGGTTATGATTTTTTGACCTAAAACTTAAAAAGTCGGCTACATCAAAGAAATTTTTTTCTTGGTGGTTCTATTTTTGTAAAGTTGGGGCAACTCATCCTGAGCATTTTGATATGTGCTGCACCTCCGTGCGATTTTTTCTACGCCCACAGTGATTTTTTGAAAAGTGCACTTTTGAGATTTTCCCCCATAAGCCCAATGTTATAACTTCAATTGTATGAACTTCAATTCATGGCAAGGCACTATGCTTCAAGAAAATTCTACGAGGGGAAAGAAATTCTTAACATGGGGAATTATGGATGGAGATTTTAGCATGATGGGTTTATATCAACTCTCCCCATATATTGGAAATATTAGATTGAGAAAAGGATATATTCACGATTACGAGAAAACGAAATTCGAGATATGAGTAAAATTACTTGGAGTTTATTTATAAATGAATGAGAATGAGAACTAATGAGAACTGACGATGTACATACATAAATATATTTAGGAGAAATGTAAATAGGATATTTGCTCCTTTAATACTTCAGAAGTTTACAATGTTTACGGTATGCAGCATCATTTGCGTGAAACCAATTATCTGTTCTTATCTAATTTGAATAAAGACACTGGTTTGCAGACCATAGAAGCAAAGTCTGGGATCTCAAAATTGACAAAAGCAGTTCCAATTTATGAAATCTGTCCATAATTAACGGCATATTAAGAACCAGGCTATAGCGTGTGTAAAACAGGGGATCTATTTTATTGTGAACATGATTGAATGAGTGAAAAAAGGCTTAAATTTTATGCCCACAACTTAAGCTGAAAGTTCCCACTTAATACAGAGGGTGTCCGCAGTTTATATGAACAGTATGAATTACCTTTTAACTTCTGAACACGATGACTGTGAATTGCCTTAGTATTTTCGATGTGTTCTCCATTCTTTTGGGCAACAAGTCTGAGTCTTCGTTTCCAACTTCCGAACACCTTTTCGCACATTTCCGGGGAGACAAGATCCCACTCTTGATTTAGGACTTTCCAAACACCAGCCATTGTGGATGCCTTCCTCTTGAAGAGTTGTTGTTTTAGGTATCCGAACCCGAAAAAATCCATCAGACTAGTGTCAGGTGACTTGATAGGGATCTCCGAATTAGATATCAAGGTCATTCCGGTGCTTTGCTTTAAATCTTGAGCGTACTGTTGGGTAAACTTTGCAGTATGTGAAGATGCCGCGTCGTGATGGATGAAAACCTTGTCGAGTTCACCAGGGTATTTCTTTGGAATTTCGACCTCCAAAAACTTACGTAAAACATTGTCCACATAGTACTTCGAGTTTATTTTTGCATTAGACCGGACAGGTATCAATGGTAGCACTCCACGGCCCGTCATTGCACCAACCACCATGAATCGATCAGAAAACTTTTCTTTTTTTGGCAGACGTAATGGGATACCCGTTTTCGGTCCTTTGTATAGCAAATTGTTCTTGTCCCGTTGCAGTCCTGAACAAAGAAGAGTGCCTCGTCTAATGTGACGACAAATTCCGACTTTTTACCTGCAAGATGACCTTCGTACAGCTTCCGACTGTTGGTTTTTCTGTTTGCGATATGAGATGGTTTTAGGGCGTGGAGTTTCGCCTTTCTCAGCACTGTTTTACACAAATCTCGATGTATAATGGTGTTAACATATGACTTGGATATCTGGCATTGCTTTGCGATCTGTCGTTGGCTTGGAGGATTCTGCTTATCAGTGAGACGATCAATTTTCTTGAGGGTGGCAGAATTCTTCTTTTTTGGGGGGCATGCATTTCGTGCAATTCCTTGGCCTGATGCAATTGATTGTCGTCGTTTTCCCTCGCAATTGATAATGTTATATATTGTGCCGACGGCAAGGTGGGTTCCAGATTTTTCAATCACTGTTTGAATACCTCTGACCGACAAGTTAGCTTCGGAAAGCGCTTTCACTGACGCTTCCACTTTGGGGTCAATTTTAGGGCCCATTTTTGAAGGTGGAAATTTCAAACTTTTAACATATGTTGCTAAGACCTTCGAGAGTGTTTTTGCTAAGTTTGGCGCAAATTGAGTCAAGCGTTCGCACGTTACCCTTGTAATTGTACTGTTCATATAAACTACGGACAGCCTGTACGATGGGACCACCCACTGGCTGAACATTGTACTATTTATGATTTTTTAACCACTTATTTAGTAGGTATCCATTTAATTTATCTGGTGGCGCATGTGTCACTTACATATTGTCAACAAATCAGTATTCTAATTTTCAAATTATCCCTCAAGTAAACTATGTTGAGTATAATAAAATTATATTCATAACTATACATATTTTTATCTTTACAACGTAGATTTTTCACTTGATAACTAACTATTTCTACAAATGTATTTATGTACATAGGACTACACTTGGTTGCCATAATATTTGATATTATTGAGGGTGGATACTTCGCACTTACAACGGCAATGTCATGGTCACCTTTGTATCCTGAACTTTACAAAAGTTCAGGACAAGGTACGCCAAGAAATCGGTAGGATCCTTAGGAAAGGGGAACCCTGCAGATTGTTGGATAGGTCGAGG